TTCCACTTCTGAAATTCGAATATAATGCATAGCACCGGGATAGTATCATGATACAACACATATTACCGAACCCAAAAAAAAAAAGTAAATTTATTGGCATTTGGCAATAACAACAAAACAATTTGATTGGGTCATCAAAAACTACCATGAAAGAAAATATAAAGATCACATTTTTATTTTTTTTTCTCTCAAAAGAAAGCATCACCAAACTCATGATGAAGAGCTTCTTGAAGCAAATGTTGAGATTGTTGCATCAAATCAGGGCTTAATCTAAACATAAGCACACAAAACTCCATCTGATCAAGAACTCCATCGCCATCCAAATCACCTTCTCTCACCATACTCTGCAACTCATCGTCTCCCATATCTTCAATCCCCAACACCGCCGCCGAGTTCTTCTTCAAGCTCTCAAATGTAATCACCCCTTTCTCTCTGTCCATCAAAAGATTGAACCCTTTACACATCTCTTCAATCAGACCTTCTCCCCCCAACTTATCCGCCATTAATGGCAGCATGTCTTGAAACTCACCCCCACCCATCTTCTTATTACCAGCCGCCATTGTTTTCTTGAAATCTTGTCTGAAAATTTTGATGTAATTAGAGATGGGTTTTCTTTCTTTTTTGTTTTGTTTTGTTTTTATTTATAGGGACAATTGGATCATACCAACCAATGTACAGACAGTAATTGCTGTGTGTCGGGTTAGGGAAGAAACATCAACTGGCATTCATCTCTTTCGGGGAAGAAGGTTATGTCTATGGGTGAGGGTATTTTGGTCATTTTGTGTGATTCTGTGTTCCCTTTTTGACTTGCTCCATGAGGGCAGGAGAAATTTCTTTGTAGATGTTGGTTGATTTGTTTATTGTTTGTCAAACATAAATCGGGAACATGTTTTGTAGAATCTACACCTATATTGAAATACGTTATGCAGTTTTAAACAATTGATCTACACATAGTAACACACATATCCATGTGTACATGTGTTTACTGGGTAGTTATTTACGTGGATGTACGATTTAAAACTCGCATAGTGTATTTCACCAGGTGTAGGATTTCATATGCACTGGGAAACGGGTTTTCAGAATTGTATATTATAATTTTATTGGTGGAGGGTGAATTACTTTAATATGTGGGTTGATTTGTTTATTGTTTGTTAAAAGGAAGTTGATTTTGATACAACATGTAGTTTATACCATTGATTTACGCATAATATAATACACACCCATGTGCATGTATGTTTAGTGTGTAATTATCTATGTAGATCTATGATTTGAATCTACATGGTGTATTTCACCAAGTGTAGAATTTCATAAACTCCGGGAAACAGGTTTTCGGAATTGTATATTATAATTTTGTTGGTGGAGGGTGAATTATTTAAATAATTGTATTCACATGATTTGGATGAGTTATTGTTGGGTTGAAAGGAGACTTTTAAAAACAAAGATGAATTAAAAATTGATTCATGTGAAGGTTGCAGGAAATGAACAAAGTTCACATCTTGAAAGTTTTGGTTTTCATAATAATGTGGATGGTATTTATTGAATTGGTAGTCATTTGTGGGCTTATAGAAAATTCATTTATATATTCAATTTTATAAAAATCTAGATTTGCGAGGTGATTTGACAAAGTTTTGCGGAAAAACGCTATTCTCTTGGTCCGTCCGTCTATCAGGTAAATTCTAATGCAATCTGCATGATTAGAGCAGTCAATACGAGAACATTATGTAAATGAATTATATAGATAAAATACGAAAAAGAATAAACAACAAGAAAGAAAATGATTTTAGAAGTTAAAATATCGAAATATATTATTATTTGGTTAAATTTTATTGATGGAGAGTGCATTTTGACATGCAATGTTTATAATTTGAGGGTGGATTACTAATTCCAAAATATTAGGGGACAAATAGCAAAATATGTAACTTTGGGGTGCAAAAAACAAATGTAACTCACCCTTAATAAATTTTCAGAATTATATGGGTTTTTGGCGGTTTGCAACCTTAAATTACACCCTTTTGGCTCTTTGCACCCTTAAATTACAAAATTGGCAGATTACACCCTTTAAACATAAATTGTTTGGCACTTTGCACCCCAAATCACTTTTGGCTTAGAAAACTTACCTGCAACTTGTTGGAAACCTGGAAGATGGGCAGATTCATAATTTTCTTATTATCTATCCTCTTTCCTTAATTTTTAATCAGCGTTCCACAAATTTTATCTTTCGTCTTTTCAATCAAAATATCCTAAAATCTTTTTAGCCATTTCTTTCAATAGTAAAATTGGTGTAAACACTAAACAATAATAGTAAATCACTTTTTTTTTCTTTTGAGTATGATAAATAATGTGACTGAAAATTTTAGACCGAGCGCTCAATTTTTTTTTGAATAGTCAAATGACAAAATAAGGCTACTGAGAAGTTTATTTGGTGGTAGAAATGTGGTGCCTATTAGTTTCATGATGGGAAGCTTTTTGTGCTCCCATTGAATAGTTTTTATATGCAAAATTATTAAAAAAAAAAATGGCGTTACCATGAAATAAAACTTGATTTTCTGAAGGTGTGTTATCGGACTCTTGTCTATACATTCCGACCATTCTTGAATTTTAGTTCATAATTTACATATTATGGCAAATAAAAACGGCTAAGAAGAATTTATGATTTTTTGATTAATAGGACGAAATATAAAAATGGTGGAACGATGATTAAGAATTGGGGGAAGATGATAGATAATTAGAGAATTGCGAATTTGCCCATCTTTCTGGTTTTCAACAAGTTGCAGGTAATTTTTCTAAGCCAAAAGTAATTCGGGGTGCAAAGTGCCAAACAATTTATGTTTAAAGGGTGCAATCTGCCAATTTTACAATTTAAGGGTGCAAAGTGCCAAAATGGTGTAATTCAGGGGTGCAAAGTGCCAAAAACCCGAATTATATTGTGTCAAGAGTTTCTTCTGGTTTCACATCTCCATTTCTTGTTCCCAATTTCATTCATGTTCTTACTATATATATACATGACGATCTTTCAAGAACACTAACTTCTTGATTCCCAATTAATGCACCACCACGCTCGAACTACTTACTCAGTTACTCTTCAATAACGGTTCAAATTGTACGATTCCATAGTAGATTGATATAAAAAAGAAAACATTATAAAATCGCTCAACTCGTACAATTAGACACAAAATCATAGATAAGATTCAAACATAGTATAGTGCAAAATTAACCCACAAAATCGATCATAATCACTTCAAGAAAGAAGAATGGTCAACAAGAAACGAACGTGGACAACACTTAGCCTTCAGAGGTTGAACTCTAGTTGTAATAACCCCTTTACCTTCTCTCATATCAATCTCACCACCACCAACTCTCTCCCACTCAAAACACTGTATCAAACACCCCAACACCGCCCCAATCATAGCCACCGCCAGTTTCTCACCGGGGCAACCCCTCCGCCCCCACCCGAACGGCAAAAAATCGAACCCATTTTTATTATTTTTCCCCACTCCTTCAAATCTCTCGGGCAAGAACTCATTAGGGTTTTCCCATGTTTCCGGATTGTTGTGGATATCCCATGCGTTGACCAATAGCATGGTGCCACGTGGCACGCGGAACCCACCGATGGTGCACTCTTGGGAGGAGAGATGGGGGGTGAGAAGTGGGGCCGGGGGGTGCATTCGGAGGGTCTCGTTGATTATGAGGTGGAGATATGGGATTTGGGCCACCTCGGATTCGGTGATGAGGTGGCGTTCTTTGCCGATGAGGTGGTTGTCTATGTGGAATCTTGCTCGTGTTAGAATGTGTGGGTTTTGCAGGAGGTGTGAGAATGCCCATTCTAGTGTGGCTGATGTAGCGTGTGTTGCTCCTTGGAGTAATACCTGTAATTTGTAATTGAGATCATATATATATATACACACACACACACACACATACATCATGTATATTTGACCAATATTAAATGAAATAAACTAATAGTAGCTTTGAGTTTTACTATATATGACGATGATGCATGATTAATTGAACATTTTGAAAATTGGCGCCAATTAATTTCAACTTTATCAATAAAATGGTCACTTAAAATTGCATGTTTCAGAAGAGAAGTCAATGTAACATCAAATAATTTTCGTTCTTTTATCATTTATGATCTTAATTTAGTTCAAATCGGCCAACAAAGTAATCATTTATTAACAACTTGTCTTGTTACAAAAAAAAATCAATTCAACTTTGACAATTACAACTCTAATTGGTACCTTTGGTGGTACTCGGTTGGCATTTGACATACTCTGAGATGGAAATTGGAATGAAATTTCCGATTCATCCAGATCCCAATACCCAAATTGATGAAATTGGAACAAAAATATTGATTCCAAATTCTCGTAAAACTCCGATTCCGAGTATTTTTTTGGATTGGAGTTAATTAGAGCATACACAAGATTTCGATTTTCGGATCCCAATATATAATTTGATCAATTATATATGAGCCTTCGAATCTCGATAGCGATTTAATTAACCTCCAAAAAAAAAATATCATCTTTTTTTTAATATTAATATTAATTTGTTTTTTACATTATTTGAATATTCGAATTCCGCCACTTCCGATCCGAAAATTGTCGATAATTTGCATGCAATTGTAAGGTATCTTAATTCTTACCAGTAGGAGATTTCTGATGGTTTGATCAGTGTAATATTCAGGTTCTTCTCTCTGCAAATCCAACAGAAATTGAATCAAGCTTTTCTCCATTCCATCTTCATCTTCCTTCTTCTTCCGACGATGCTTTTCGATCACGTTTTCCATAAACCTCTCTCTCTTCTCCTGCACAAAACTCATCTTCCTCTCCACACAATCTCCAATCCCGAATAACCGCCCCACTAACGGCACAAAGTCAACGACGTTAGCTTCCAACGTCACCTCCGTCATCTCCGCCACAATCCCCCCAAAAACCTCCCAACCCTCCTCCTCCTCCTCCTCCGCCGCCTCCTCTCCAGTAATCATCCTCATCACCGCATTATAAACGTGCTCGAAAAACAGCTTCCTCAAATCCACGTCATCATCGTCTCCGATCGCGATCAATTTCTGAACCAGCGATCGGGACTCGTCCGCCCTAACTCCGGCGAGGGCGTGGATTCTACGCGCGGAGAGGAGCTCGAGCGTCGAGATCCGCCGCAGATTTCGCCAGTGGCCGCCGTACGGGGCCCACGCGAGGCTGGTGAAGTTGTAGCCGAAGTGCTTCCCGTTGAGGAGATTGGGGCGGTCGGCGAAGACGACGTCGTTTTTGACCAGGCACTCCTGGGCGGCGGACGGGGAGGAAACGAGAAGGACTGGCCGGGAGCCGAGGCGGAGGAGGAGGATCGGGCCGCGCCGCCGCGAGATTTGTGACAGTGAGCGGTGGAGAGTTGTGGATTTGGTGAAGAAGAAGAAGAAGTGGAGGTGCCCTAAAATTGGGAGAATGGGGAAAGGTGTGGGTGGGAGATTGAGATATTTGTTAAGGAAATGGTGAGTGATTGTGTAGAGTGTTAAGAAGAGTGGTGGAAGGAGGTATAGGAATTGGAGTTGCAGAGCTTCCATGGCGGAAATGGAGAGAGGGTAATATTAATTAATTAATTAATTAATTAATTATATATAGCATGGTTTCTATATATTTTATGGATTTGGATTTTTCTTATAATTATTTGGGAAAACATGTTTTACAACTACATAATTAGAATTCTAAAATCAATTTGCAATTTGTAATAATCACTTAATAAAACTTAATTTACAATCATTAACTTCTACTTTTAAATAAAATTTGCATAACTAAAACACAAAATATTCAATGTAGTTTAACAATAATATTCTCAATTACTTCTATCTTTATTGAGATAATCTTTTCAAATAGTCTATGTGTAATTAATGTAGATAAAATTGAGAAAGAGTGATTAATGTATTAGTAAGTTTTAATGTGGTATACAATATACTAGAACATATTTTTTTTTGAAGACAGTTAATTTAAAATTGATGGAGTAAATTATGTTTTTTTAAAAGTCTGGTATTTTCGTGAAGGCCTTTATGGTTAAGGCGACACGTGGCAACATGCATGAGTTATTGAGCCCACGTGGTTCAATCTCTGGAGACAAATTTATTGGGGCATGAAAAGTTAATGAACAACTTTGTCTTCATATTTCATAGACCCGAAACATCATATTATGAGTGCTCTTGGCTATATTATAGCTAGTGTTATTCACAGGGGTTTTTTGTATTGTTCTTATAATTATTTTTTTTAATTTCTTTTAAGTAATCCCATTAATTGATTAGGGTTTCAAAGATCCAGATCAAGAAAATTGTAAATTGTAAATTGAGTGTGTCGCAAAAACTCGTACTCTAAGAAAACCACAATGGCCCGCAAACAATCCTCCCCTCGAATAAAGGAACACCGAGACACCCGCTATTTGCGCACGGGGAGTTTACCATATTTGTGTGGCATTGGGACCTCCGGCAATTTACGCCACATTAGTAAGTTTGGGCCATGGCTGTAATGCCACTGTTGGGGTCCATCGGAAATGACAAACTCCACATTGGTATGATGTTGTCTAATCTAAGCAAAACTTAATTGATTTTACTCTTAGATCTCTCCAAAAGACCTCATACCAGTAGAGTTGGTATCCTCACTTCATAAACCAATGACCTTTCCCATATTAAATCGATATGCGACTTAGTTTGTCCCTCAACATGCGACAGAATCCTAGCAGGTGAATTGCTCACATCGATAGTAATTCCCTCTTCTTCCTCATTGTGATGCTGAAGTTCCTCACATGCATGCGATGAGGTTTTCCATGTGGAGCGAGAGTGTGATTATTGATGAGGAATACAACGAGCAATAGGTGTCACGGATGGTGCCACCCAAAATAGATCTACCACAAGGGTAGATAGAATCGGGAAATTGGGTTATGGTGAATATTCGAAAAAAAGATAAATGAGAAAGGAGACACGTGAGATATAGCGATCGCCAAACCCGACCAAAAAGAACAAAACCCTAGTATGCAAAATCAAAATAAAGCATTAAAATCAGCAAGTAAACACAAACGATCGAATCATATGAAAATACAATCGAAAAACCCTTATGATCGAAACGTGAAGAGCAAAATTCTTAAGTAACCAAGGAAGCCTCTCAAAGCGAAATAAAAGGTACGCCAAATCTGAAAATATTCGCAATCCTTTGAGTTAACTCGAAAATCGTGTGTAATATTCACTAGTTTCCATACAGTTAAATCTCTATACATTGTCCTGCAAGGGATGGCCTAGCGGTTGAAGCAAGTGAACTTATGTCAATTGACCCAGGTTCGAATCCCCTTGCCAACGGTCGCTAGGTGGAACTTGTCACACATGTTTAGCCTAATGTGGTTTATATCTCTCGTATGCTTTGCAAGCTATTATACAATAGTGTATGTTTACCCAGTGACCTATATGTCAATTGGGTATTATTTAATCGAAGTTATTCATTTATCGAGGTTCTCCTGTATTAAGAAAACTAGGGCCACCCTTTTAGTACAAAGTTGAACCGGACCACCCTTTTCTCAGAACGGGTTGAATTATCCATTACCATGAAACAGTCCAATTTCATAAATGCCCATTTAATTTACTCCGTGTATCGATTCTCTAACCAATTGAATGACAAATTATGTAAATTGTTTTTGTTTGATACTGTTTGAATAATAAAGTTTTTTTTCATTACTCATATAGAAATATGTAACTTTTTTTATTTAGTATTATGATAATATGATATTCACAAATTGTTTTTTCATTAATCATATCTTATTTTTTATTTTTTTTATTTAAAATACAATTCAATTTATAATATAGGATTTTTGAAATTTAATATAGAAAATTCTATATATTAGATAATTTAATATTTTTCGAATTATTTAATATAAAGATAGTTTCCAAAAATTTTGGTATATTTCGAAATTTAAAATTTAAATAATATATTTTGGTTATTGTGAAATTTAAAATTTAAAAACTTCTATTATTAAAATAAATAAATAAAAGTTTAAAATTTTACTTCCTCTTGAAGAATTCAATAATTTGAAATATAAAATTAATATAATTTAAACAAATTAACACACAATCGGCAATCGGACCACCTCCTTTCCACATGTCAAAGCGGTTAAGAAATTTTTGCATCAGAGTCACGTGCAAAACACGGTGCAAACATATCAATCGTGGGACCCAGTAATTCCCATGTGAGCAAATTGAAATCAGCCCATTCCTTCCGCCACGTCATCGCCAACCAATCGAAAAATATCCTCCACCGCACCAACTGCGGCATCAAACATTAATAAATGATAAATAAAACAATTAAAAAAACCCCTTCGAGAAACACACACCACACACACACACACTAAGGAAAATCCACTTTCAGGATCCCTAGATTATCGACACCTGGCACACCACACACCACTCACTTCCTCTCCCTCGTACGCCGTCGTTTTCGACGCCTGTGTCGCAAAATATCTCGTGTACTCTCCTCGATTTTCCAACTTTACCCTCATCAAGGAATTTCTTCAAAAGAATAATTAAATAAAACTATCTCATCAATTAGATTTTTATCTTGAAAATAACTAACAAAATATCAATATACTTTATTAATTAACGTTTTATCTTCTTAGGCCTCGTATAAGAGTAAATAATTTAAGAAAGTCTGATTTGGTTGGGAAAATTACCCATAATGGTATCCCTAATAATTTGTTGGGTCGACCCGCAAGTATTATATTATCATGTTTTATCTTAATTTTTAAACATATGTTTTATAGGTTCTTTTAATGTTCAAAGGTACAATTGAGTTTCAATAAATTATTTAATTTTATTTCGGCTAATTTTATCTTGGCAACCAAACGAAGCCCAAAATTTCATTATATTATTAGACCTTGAAGGATCCAATAAAAAAATATTTTTAAAAGGCAAAATAAAAAATTAATAACATAATATTCACTGACCGATCAATTAAAATATTAAATATACTAAATATCAAAGAAAATTCAAATATTTAATTTAATAATTACTAATTTTTCCAACGAAAGGAGGACTTGCAATTTAAATCTACTAGTATCAATTTATTCCCCTTTATCGCACCGAGAATAAAGGGGAACCATTAGTTTTTATTTCGAGTGGGTGGTGGCAATTCCGTAATTTACCATTGAAATAAGGGTTTGTGTATTATATGTTTGACTGCTAGTTGAATTAATGGAACTTGCTTATAGTTTCTCTTTCCCTTTCTCTCTCTAACTTCTCACCATTCATTCTTTTCATTCTTCCCCATCAGTTTCAAACCTGCAATCTCTCTCTCTCTCTCTCTTCTTTCTCTCTCTTAATTATTTTGTTCAGTTTTATATTTTTTGTTTTGATCTAGCTGGAAATATGAAGAAGGCGTGTGAGTTGTGTGAGAAAATGGCGAGGATACGCTGCGAGGCGGACGAGGCTAGCTTATGCTGGGACTGCGACGCAAAGGTGCACGCCGCTAACTTCCTGGTGGCGCGTCACTCCAGGAATCTGTTATGCCACGTCTGCCAATCCCCGACGCCGTGGTCCGCTTCCGGCGCTAAGGTCGGCCCCGCCGTCTCCTTCTGCCTGAAATGTTCCGATTCAAGGATCCGTGACGGCGGAGATGAAGAAGCTCCGGCGACGGCGGCGGCGGAAGCGGCGGAGGAGGAGGAGGAACGCGATGAGAAGGAAATGGAGAATCAGGTGGTGCCTTGGTCTCCGCCGGAAAGTTCTTCGACCAGCAAAAACTCCGACGGCGGCGGCTGCGGCGGAGGCGGCGGCGAAACGGTGGATTCGAGGAAGCGCTGCAGACATGAGGATAATTTTTCGTCTAACCATCCTTCCTATGTATGAGCTTTTTCATTCTATTTATTTTTTTATTTTTTTATTTTTTATTTTTTTTAAGTTTTGAAACTCAACGGCGAGGGTTTTGTGTGTGTTTAAATGGCAGGACAACAACGGCTGTTCAACAACTCCATCGGGAAATATTCAGAAACCGGATCCGGGTCGGGTTGGAGTGCGCGATCCGAAAAGATTCTGCCGGAAAGAAGCCAGTTCAGGTACCGAAACGCCGGAAATACACACCTTCGATCTAAACTCGCCGCCGTCTGACGTGGACGTTGATCTCTCTAGTCACCAACAAATTTAGTTGAATTTGCTTTTTTATTTATTATTATTATATTATAATGTTTAATTTACCACAGTTTAGATTAGGGTTTCAGAATTAGGATTACATTTTAGTTATATATATTTTGGATTATATAGTTTTATACATAGGGATGATAATTTGTGTTCATCTCAATCTCAACAATAGAGGAATATTTTGTGTCACACTTTCGGATCATTGGATGTGTAGTTCTTTCATTTATTATCATTTGTTTTATGTAGATTTCAAAATATAGCCACGTGTCGAAATGTTTGTGGATTGGGTTATTCTACTGGTATAAAAATTAAATAAAAATGGATTATAGTAAAAAGGGGTCATTAGCAATACACCCCTCATATAGATAAGAAATAGTGATATGTCCACCCCTTAAATCTTTCTTTGTGATAACCCCCTAGAAATTTTATTCCCAAATCTACCCTTATGTCAATTAACATAATTATTCTCAATTATTCCTTTTTGCTCTCTTTCCATAACAATAATCTAATTCCTTCCTTAAAATCTGCTTCTAAATCCCTAAAAATTTGCTACCAAATAAAAAAATGATTTTTTTATTTCTTATTTTTTTATTATTTTCGAATTTTATTTATCCATTATTTATTTATTTATTTTTTTAATATTTTTTTAATAAAAATATATTTTTAATTTTTTTTTTATTTTTTGCAAAGAAAAAATTGAAATTCTTTTCTCGACAGATTTACAAAGACGAATATGACTATAGTTGAATATGACTATATGTGACTATATTAACTGTAGTCATATTATTTTTTATATTGCAGTTTTTCACTTTTTCAACTTAACATCCGATTATATAGTGTGGTATAGTCATGTTCACCAAATTATATAAAACAACGAAGGTTCCTTATTGTTTACGAAAACAATCCAATCAACATCCACACAAAAAAATCACAATTTGAATCTAGTTATTAGAAGTCAACTTCAAAACGATAAAATAGAACATATTCGAATATGACTACCGTCGTATTCAACAATAGTCATATTCGAATATGACTACAATCATATTCAAACAATACATAAATATGACTATAGTCATATTCGAATATGACAATAGTCATGTTACTGCTACTGTTCAGATCTGAAAAATACAATTTTCAGATCTGAAAAAAAAAAAAAAAAAGAGAAATCGAGAAATACATAAATATGACTATAGTCATATTTGAATATGACTAGTAATGTTACTACTTCTGTTCAGATTTATAAAAAAAAAATCGAAAAATACATAAATAAAGATAGAAAAATAACGAGAGAGAGGGATGGGAGTTGACGAGGTCTTCATACACAAAATCACCCTGGCATATCTTCACCCCAAACGACCCTCCATACTTCAACATAATCATCAATGTTGGCGACATGATGTGCAGCACTACAAAAAACATGAGAATGTGACTACTATGTGAATAATTCTGCTGAATGAATCTGCACTATTCTTTAAATGCATTTCATATAATATTATGTGAATTCATTTCAGTCACAACAAACACATTGAAACTTACACTAACATATCAAGTAACGCAAAAAAAAAATTTACAATAAGATCACAATTTGAATCATATTATTAAAAGTCAACATGAAACGATAAAATGGAACATATTCGAATATGACTATAATCATATTCAACAATCTTTAAATTAATAATAAGAAAAATAAATAAAGCACGTCAATTGTAGTGCAGCACCGTACCACTAAACCAAACCATTGTGAAAAAACAAAAAAAATCATCGTAAAAAATATAAACTAATAAAATAAATAAAGATCTTGCAAATAAAAAAAGAATAATGAACATGAATATGTCACCTGACTCTGGAGCCGCCGCTCGAAGACAGAGCCGAGCTTATGAGCCCGGATAGCCTGCAGAAAGTCAGCCAACGGCTGCGATTATTCCTTCACGGCACGAGATTGATCCTCGTGTTCACGCTCATCGCCACTCATAGTACCGCGGCGCACCTTATCACTTCCCTCCTCCTTCCTCGATCTACTGGCGGAACTCTGCACATCGGAGTTTTCCTTCGTCGCCTCCTCTCTTCCGCCGTCTGACTCAACTAAATCGGAGAGAGCTCTGCAAAGAAAAAAAAGAAAAAAAAAAGAAGAAGAAAGAGAAGAGAGAGAGAGAGTAAACGTGGGAGAGTGTGTGTGAAAATGAGGAATAAAATTAAAACCCTAACCCATAGGGGTATTTTAGTCTTACCATATCTGATAAGGGGGGTCTCACTAATTTAAATTGGGATTTGGGTTATGGAAAAAGTCTTTAAAGTCAATTGGGTTTAAATCAAAATATTTTCCAAATGAGGGGGGTATTGCATATTTCCCCTAGTAAAAAAGAATATTCTTATTTGTTTCAAAATTGAGATAAATGCAATGAATGTACCAATGCATTTAAATTGATAAATAATGTAGAATATGAAAAAAAAATATACTTAAAACTATATATACTTTTTGGCATGGAGTGAGTATTTTGTATAAATTATTGAAAAACTTTTGTAATAAATAAAGGTTTATTGTTGTAAATAAAGTTTTTGTTTATTCTCTATAAGAATCTGAATTAGAAAAATCTTTTCTTTCTCTAAAACACTCTACGGATTAAGTTTGAGCTTGATTCGAACTATAATAATAAAATGTGTATGAAAAAATAAAGTCGTCATAGTTTGATTAATGTCGATCGAACTCGACTTGATTGCAAATAGATCCAAAAAATTGGTGTTGTTAATTATCTTTTATTTTTTTTAATGGCGAATTAGCTCTATCAATTGCCTTTTGTTTTGTTTGTGAGAACTAATGTTTAGAAAAATGATCTTATAAATGACATAATCAAATTCAAAGAAAATCGAACGTTTGACCTAGTGCTACTACCCTCTAAGCTTCTCAATCCTGCTCGGACTATGTATTCGGTGTTTGTCAAAATGTTATATTTGGACAAAAGTTACTATATATATTATAAGTATTGATCGGCAAATGAGATTCTGGTCTATGAGATGCTTCACCTGATGTTACATATCGATGGTTATGAATTATAAATTTATCTAAATAACCATTCACTAAGTACAGATACACATGTATATTTGTATTATTATGTTTAGATCAATAATTTAAGACTGTCCGGTGTATATTACCGGGTGTAGCATCTACAAAACCTGCGATCCTTGAGTTCTAATTTTGAAAATGAATTTTAGAATATCTTAAATCGGCCGATAATGTAAGCAAATACTAAATAATAGCTTTAAGAATAGATGGTACAAAACATGCATATATTCATATGAATACATCTACTAGACTATACTATGTTATCAAATGTGGGTATATTTAATTTCTAGCTCAAACGACGGCGTATTCAACAAAGACAGCTATTGGTGGATACAACCAATTTGTCATCACTCATTTTTCAATGTACATCACACATTGTGATGATTTGGCTTCCCCAAAACTAATTAAATTATTTCTTTGCTTTGTTTGCTTGGTCCAAATTAAAACTAATTTCAAAGGCAGCTTTATTTTATTATAAAAATTGAAAATATCTAGTACTAGTTGATTATCTTTATGACTTGGCTAATACACATTCACAAGCCTTAATCTCATCTTTATTTTAATTTTTTTAGTTAGGCCTGTTTGGCTGGAAATATAAGATTAATCAAGATAAAATTAAATAATAAATGAAACTCAATTGTATTATTGGATCTCGGAAGGTTCAGAAAAAACATTCCTAAAAAGAAAGATAAACCATGATAACATAATGTTTGCAAATTGAGTCGATCATGTAAGTTATTGGGAATACCAAATATTAAATAAAGACCTCTTATTTATGGTCGATAAGGCCATATATAGTAACTTGAACTTTTATAAATGATTCGACTTTTTTCGTTGTAAGATAAGTATTAGGGCATCCCCAATGGAGGCTCTATACTCCATTGGGCTCTAAATTATAGAACTTCTGCAAAAAAAGGCAACACCAACAAGAGTTCTAGTGGGTATGCAAATTTAGAGACTTTCACCAAATTCCTAAATGTTTTCCTAAATATGTGATTTCATTTGGAGACTCTCTATTTGCTGGGTCCCACGGCTTTTTATTTCTTTTTCGTTTTTACTTCTTAGTTTTTAAGGGGTGTTTATTTTATATTTATATAATTCGAAAAAAGATGTATTTATTATTTTCGTTATATTTGAACATATATTTGTGTTAATAATTTGTCATTTCATTTGTTAGAATTATTTTTCTATAGAAATGTAGATAAAATAATTAATGGCAGGGATCAATTGGTGTATATATCTTTTTTCATTATATTTGGACATATATCATATCTTTTCAGATTTTTTTATTTATTTGATCAAAGTGTGTATTAAAAGTAATTATGATTGATTGAATATAAATTAATTATCTAAAATCTCACATATGAATAAAATTTAAACCTTAATCACATTATTATATAAAAAAATCGTAAAATATATTTAGAGACTCAAAACTATAGAGCCCTTCACTGTGGAACTTTTTTTTTTAGAGACTCGAAAATTTTACCGGGTCTTCATATGGGTCTCCAAAACAAAATTTGGAGACCCGATTTGCTTACTCCACTGGAGATGCCCTTAGCGTGTCGTTTAAGACTTAATTACAACCATTAGTGACTCCCACAACATAAACATAGAGACCCACAAGGCCACAATTATATTACTAATTATGCTCATCTCTAAATTGATCACTTTATAAAGAAATCTCGCTTTGGACCAATTATTCTTTACATATAAAAAACTATTTACAATAATTAAATCTTCCATATTTTCAAATTTAATCCAAAACTCTATGTTTTCATAATTTTAGGGGTGTAACTACAATTACCAATATTATAGAGACCTTAAAGTTATTTTAGCATACCTCGGGGATATAGGTGTAATTTACCGTATAAATTTTATTTGGTGTATGTTTCCAAATTGTTATGTATCGTCACTCTTAAAATGTGTTGTCTATGATTTTAAATTAGGTTTTCAACCACATTAAATATTTTAATTTAATTTCATCATAATTATTTCTTCTATGTTTTTCTTATATAGAATTCAATAACCAGATTATAGTTCAAAAATTAAATACAATTGACCAGTAGCTGAAGAAATACAATTAAAAAAGAAGAAGATCTTTATCAAGTCAAGTTTAAAATAAACTATTTAAAATTGTGGCCAAATTACGGCTAACCCCCTAAGGTACGAGTAAATTACAAAACCCCCCATCTTGTTTGGGTAATTACAACCACTTCTTTACTATAACTATGTATTGTCTTACACGTTTACATTTACGGTCAGGCGCGTACCCGTGGGTATGCTTGGGGTGGCCCCCGCCCCCTATAATTTTTTCTAACATTTTTTTATTAGTTACCTATAATTTTTTCTAACATTTTTTTATTAGTTATGTATGTATTAGTTAATGCACTTTCGCCCGCCAAACTTTCAATTTTATTCACTTTAGTCCATAAAAACAAATAAAAATATTCTCTTAATTTACCTCCACATTCTAGCGGCCCGGCCGCCCCCCCCCCCCCCCCCCCCCCTTCCAAATTTTTCTACTAAATAAGAGGGATTTTCATAAAAAAGATACATAATTATGAGAAATGGTTGTAATTATACAAATAAGAAGATTTTGTATAATATAGTCTTACATTAGTAGGGGTCGTAATTTTTTCTTAAAATTGTAGTAATTAAGAGACTAAAAGATTGTGGCTGGGGATTTGTTTTGCGTGAATACTTTGTTGTATAGTCCAATATTTGGTGTAAATAAAGAATCTACGGTCCTCTCAAAAACGAAAAAAAAAAACAATAATAATAATTAAATAAATAAGGCGATTAAAAAGAGAGGTGTGGAGAATAAAAAGTTAAAGTAAGTAGGATTTGTGGTGCAAACATCTCTACATTGGGAAAA